TAATGTTAAAAAGATCCCAATGAGTCTTCTCCCTGAAAAGGATGGTGGTTCCGAAGACAAAAAGTATGTGCCTTTTCGAATAATTATTTCTCTTGAACGAAAAAAGCTAATGAAGTATAAAAGATTGTGATTGAAAGAGCGAAACTATGAAAATATGTTTACATAGAGACATGAAGGATGTTTGATCATGCTTTTTCGTTCATTTTTGGTTTTAAAGTCTGTTGTACGGAAAAGTACTATGTCGATCGCTATAACAAAATCACTCATTGTGACATCACGTATGACTGATAATAATTTTTAAAATATGCTGCGGTTGCTGTCGAATTTTGCGGAATAATAATACATAATAATAATAATAATAATAATACAAATGTTAAAAATTACAAATAATAAGTTAAAATTATCGTATTTATCTTTTACATCTATAACTTACAAGCATGTAACATAATTTCATAATTAAAAAATCCTTAAAAACATATATATTGTATATACATTTATATATTGTATTTTATATTTATATATTCTATATTCTAGACATTATTGATTTTATCATTTAATTCAATTTCATCATCTCGGGAAGACATAGATTCATGACTTATATTTGAATAATTTTTTAATGACAACCCTTCATTAATTATGTATTGAAAGAAATTGCCAAATATGCCTAAATTTAGCCCTAAAAAAAAATGATAAAAGTATATAATTATCGAATTAATTAAAATAATTCAACTAATTAGAAGATATATAGAGTTTCTTTTTTTACCTACTAGAGCAATTATAGCTAAAAGTTCATATTTATGCTATACATTTTATAAATCAAATTAATTAATATTTTTCAAAAAAAAATTTTTTAAAAAAATTTAAAATAAACCCTTACATTCAAAAGGTTTGCTATCTTATTAATCAAGGCAGAAGTATATTGTAAAATAAACACTAAAATATAGGTCATAACTTTTTTGTAAACCTTTCTTTCAAGTTTATCTTTTAATAAACTATTGCTTATTGTTGTACCTTCGCTACCATTACTAATACTACTGTTATGATCAGCCTTTTTAATTAAAATTAAAACATAAAGATAACAAAATATTATAATCGATAATAATGATAATATTGACACAACAATCATCGTTGAAAAAATTTCATTGCTTTCATCAGGTGCACACCTAAAAATAAAAATTTATTAATAAAAAATTTTTTTTTAATATAAAGATTTAAAAATTTTTTACCAATATTTCTGTTTTGGAGTACCACGAACTGAAAGTGACATATCAATGATAGCTATTGAAAATACTGGTACCCATAATTTATAATCGTACTTCCCAAAATCAATATTCACTTCTCTAACCACTCTCAACCAGGTAGTGACTGATATAGCAGCAACCAAATGTATAGTTAAAGCTGTTGAAAAAACTAATAATGAACTAATTACTTCACAAGCCGGAGATTCTAGAGGCTCTCTATAGGCTGCACCATACCCCTTTATAATATTATTAATTTATAAATTATTTATTTATTTATTTATTTATTATTCAAAAGAAATAATAAATATACACTCACGTGATTTATTAAAGAAACTAATGATACGAGAATATCTAATATTAAATTTTAATTAGAGTTTATTAGATTTATTAGAATTAAAATTAATCCTTCAATTCACTAATTTACCTGTCAAAGCAATATAATATGGAAATCTAAGTGACATAGGAATTGCTGAACGAGATTTCCTCCATCTTAGGTATGTACCTGAAACAAAATATTTTTCTTGTTAATAATCAATGTTTTTTTAAATCTTTGAAAATCAGAAATTTGTCTTACGTAAAATAATGTATGCACATCCAATAAAATTACAGATAATGATAACCAATGAAACTATAAGAACCGTGTAAATTAAATCTGGCGCATTATTATTATTATTATCGGTATTTGAATCAGTGTCGTTTGATGCTGACAAACTGTATGCAAATGGTATTTGCGTTAATTCTAGAATTAAAAATATTTTATTGATATTCGAGGTTTTCAATAGCATTTTATAAATTTATTGACTATTCATAATATTTTCGTTTTATAAATGAATGTGAAGAATAATTTTCGCTGCGAGAAAAAAAGCGAGCTATTTTTATTTTTTTTTTATTCACAATATTATGTAATCGAAATTATTTTCTTTGTAATCTGAAGAATAGCACGGCTCGCTAATAAAGAAAAATCAAAATAAAGATTGGTTTTAATTAAAAACTTACAAATCGGCTAATATTTGTTATTTCGTCCATACAATTTATTTGTAATTATTATGTAATTCAATTTGTGCCTTCATTGCTCTAACTGTCTCCACCAATTGTATTATGGTAATAGTTGGACATGACCCAAAATGTTATTTTAGAACCGGTTTTTTCAGTAGGATGTAAAAACATTCACTTAATTTGCATGTGTGACGTAGATCCCATTACGCAATCGAATTCATTGAATTAATATACTGTATATATATAGTAGCATAATGGACTGGAGTTGGTCACAATGGTTGAAATTTATTATATGCGGATTTTTTAATGTTACACATATATATCATCAAAACATTATATATAGCAATATCATTGAAGATTTAGATAAACTTTAAAACGTAAAGGCTCAATAACCAAGCAGGCTGTGGGAATAAACTTTCCTCAATTGTATTTCCAAACACTCAATAAATAGTCTATCAGAGAGTTTTTTCATTTATATTAGTAAAGAATTTTTTTGTAAAGGTTCAAAGTTATCAATTTTGTTGATTTCGCTATAAAATGAAATTTAGATAAACTTTAAAATTTAAAGGCTCAATAACCAAACAAGCTGTGGGAATAACCATTCCGCGATTGTATTTCCAGACACTCAATTAATAACCGATCAGAGAGTTTTTTTTAATTTTTATTAATAAAAAAATTTTTTGTAAAGGGTTCAAAGTTGTCATTTTACTATTAACAATGGAAATTTAGATAAATTTCAAAATCTAAAGGCTCAATAACCAAACTAGCTGTGGGAATAATCTTTCCACGGTTGTATTTCCAAACACATAGTTAATAACCGATCAGAGAGTTTTTTTCATTTTTTTAAATAAAAAAATTTTTTGTGAAGGTTCAAAGTTATCGATTTTGTTGATTTTACTATTAACAATGGAAATTTAGATAAATTTCAAAATCTAAAGGCTCAATAACCAAACTAGCTGTGGGAATAATCTTTCCGCGATTTTATTTTAAAACACTCAATTAATGACCAATCAGAGAGTTTTTTTCATTTTTATTAATAAAAATTTTTTTGTAAAGGTTCAAAGTTATCGATTTTACTATTAAGATTTGCTTTGACGATCCTCCCTTTTTAAGGAAATGTTAAAATGTTATTAAATTAATATTACAAATTTTATTTTGTATAAACTTTCAAATTTTGTTCAAATAAAATGCCAAAATTTCACAGAAAAATATGAGTAATTCAACAGACTCATCTAATCAAAAAAGAGAAAATTTATGCTCCAATTGAAAAAGAAAATAGTTTACCTATAGATCTTGACAATTCATTTATAGTAACCAATGATTCCTTATCCAAAGATATTTCTCCATCCCAAGATGTCTTTGATTCAATTTTCCAAAATGCATCAAGTGTTTACCCACAAGATATTTTAGATCACCCATCTGTTAATGTTATAGACCACAATAATATGGCAGAACTTAATACTAAGACAAAGCAAATTAGAATTAAATTAATCAATAAAATAAATAATTTAGATGAAAAAGAATTAATTGCTTGCTCCCAATTGTTTGAAAACATGAGATATCCAGATGGTACACATCAAGGTGAGATTTTGACCCCTTATTTGCAAAAAAAAGCCATGGAATGGGTCCTAATAACTAAAGGTAAACATCAGAATAATGAATCTGAGATAAATCAGAAGATGAAAGAATTAGAAAAGGAAATTAAAAAATTAAAAAAAAAAATTTGAAAATCTTAATGCATATAAAAAATTACTTGCAATTAAGGTTGCTAGGCAAGAATAAAGAAGAAAAACATATATTTCCCAGACCCATTCTCTTGTTAGTAAAAAAAAGTCAATATCAAATAAAGTCTTTCAAAATGCTGTAGCAAAAAAATTCAAAGCAAACAAAAATGCTCACACACCTGAATTTGTTTCCCTAGCTACTCAAATGAGTAATATTGGTCAGATGTCTTTATCCTCAACTGTTCAATGTACAAAGGAGATCTTTGCCTTCCTAACTGGTCAATCACATAGAACATTGGCAAGGTGGAATAAAGAGGTAGCTCAAGTTGTGATTCATGACAATCTTCCTAATAAAGATTGTCAATTCTTTTCTTATGGCATTATTGCAGATGAAAGCACAAGAGGAGAGAAAAAAATCTTCCTAGTATGCTTGTCATATTGGAGCCATCACACTAATGAACCCTTACTCTCTATAATCCGAATGGTAGATATAGAACGTTGTAGTGCTATTGTTGTCTGTAATACTATAATAGAATCATGTCAATCTTATAATTTATGCATAAATAAATGTCTGTACTGGCTTACTGACAATACTGGATATATGCCTGGGGAAAAGGGTGGTGCTGTAGTTGAGTTCAAAAAAAAAAAAACAGGTTCAAAGACAGTTAGGATTCCTTGTGGTCTCCATGCAATTCATATTGTTGTAAATGCTTTTGAGAAAATTACATTTGGCAGTAATTCTAATCCCTCTGGTTTGTCCTTACATCCACATCCTTTTAATCTACTGAATCTTGCCTACTACCTTCACAATGGCTACAATGATCCAGATAAAGATAATCCACTAAACATGAAAACAGAAACAATTAAAAGGTTGTATTGGACCTTTCTTCAATATCAATTGAAAAATTACCAAAAACCTATTTCAACCAGATGGCTATATCAATTAGAAACAGCCAAACAGTATCTTGACAGAAAGGATATTCACCTCATGTTTGCAAGATCAGTTGATGTCCTCAAAAAATGTGCCAGAGATATTATCACAAGTGGACTACTTTCCTCAGTTGGTTACAGGATGAAAATTTGAATATTTTAATTAGAATTATGGTTCAATTTGGCAAATGGTTCTATGAACGATTATTCAATTTTCTCACTACAGCAGATCCTTGTCCTAGGATACAACATAATGGCACCATTAAAACACTCCCTAATGATTATCGAGCTCATGAGCTACCAGAAATGGTGGAAAAATGGACCAAGGAATTGAATGAAGCTGCAGAAAGACCAGAAATTGTTTTTTTTTTTGAAGAATTTCAAGCTGCAAATAGATGCCTAGAAAAAAATGATTATATTGATTTAATGGATAAGATTAAAGCAGGATTAACAAAGGCCTTGGATATATTTAAAAAGTGGATGGATATATGGACTCACTTGCCACTTTCAGTCTGTAATTTAGGAGGTAACAATGGTCAAACATTTGCATGGGCAGTTATCTGTGTAATATTAGACTTTCCTCTGCCAAATTTCTCTAATAACCTTGTAAGTAAATGCATTATCCAGCTGGTAGATGATTTTAATAATCAAAGAAAAGAATCTTTTGGTCTCTTTGAAGCATTACAAGAAGATGACTTTCATAATGAATTTATTGTCTTCTCTGTGGCCAATGATCCCAAATTATTTGATTTTCTCTTGCTATATGAATTCATTAAAAATCAAATTTGGTCAATAGTAGTTCATCAGCAGCATGTAGAGGGGATGTTTAATAAATATGATCTAAAGATACATGCCAATATGAATATTGATTTGCAAGAAGCTAGGCTGAAACTCTCAGGACCTAAACCTTTAGAATGTATGCTTACTTCAAAGAAATTAAAAGAAGTTCATGCTCATCAGCATATAATTACTCCTAATCCAATAAATTTGAACTTTGGTGAGGAGGCAACCAAAGATATATTAAAACATATCCTAAAAAATAAATAATTATATATTTAATAAATGTTTTAGTAATAAAAAATTTGTTTCATGAAATGAGTAATGATTTATTATTATGATCCAAATCTTACTTCAGAGAAACTAAAGGAGATAGATTTACAATCCAACAAATTTGGACTTTGGTTAAAAATATATTTAATAGATATTTTTGTAATAAAAAGATTGTTTCATATGAAATGACTTTTTTTTAAGAAAAATCACTTCAGTTCTAGAAATTCTATCAACGAAATTACTTATTGAATGATTTTGCAAATTAGTTGAAATTGTAGTTATAGTTGATGATGATGATGATGATGATGATGATGATGATGATGATGATGATGATGATGATGATGATGATGATGATGATGATGATAATGATGATGATGGCAGTGATGATGATGATGTTATTGGATGGGTTTGTCCAAATATAGATTGCATGATAGAAACAGGTACGGAATTACATTTCTTCAAATGTTGTTTACACCTTCCAAGAGCTTCATTTAACTCATAGTTACAATATTTGCAACTTGCTCTATTTTGCTTATAACCACTAACTTTACCCAATCTGGTAAAATGAGACCAAATGTCTGAATTTGTCATTTTTAAAGAATAGTATAAATGTTTTACGGGTAATTTTAATGATAAAAAATTTAATTAAAATGTAAAAATGCTGTTTAATTTTAATTGGGTAAAATTTAATTTCCGCATTTTCTGTATGTGACATTGCATGATTTGAAAAAAAATCGTGCGCATTGCATTTTTTTTTCATGCGCATGGAACATCTCTAGTTCTCAGTTGTAAAATTTCATTATTATTATTATCACGTGATAAAGATCGGCCATTAAAAATTCAAAATTTTCAATTCTTCCAATTCGTTCATTTTTAATATATTTTTTTGTGTAACACGCCATCTGGGGGGTTAACATAGTAAATTCGTGAACTTTGATGCATCGTTCCTCTATGGTAACGTTACATATCAATGAAATGAAATCATTGGATTGTAGGTAAAAGTCTTAGCTTTAATTCTATGATTTGTTTTTTTGGTCATACATTTCCATTTTTGGAGGAGATCAAGAATCTACACAGCCAATAAA